GCAGGACGTCACCCAGTCCACCCTACTAGTAGCCGAGCCACACCTCCTAGACACTAGTGGGGATGGGCAGAGGCCGTAGCTGTCAAAACGAAAAAATTAAAAGAGCTCTTTTCCCTTGCCAGAACGCCGGTTCTTTCCACGGCCCCCACCTCTTCCGCCTTTAGGTGGAGGCTCAAGTGTGGAAATGGAAGGTCGGAGCAAAAAATTTCGAAAAACGGTCAGGAAAGGCTTTAAACGTGCGTCTGTAGCCGGAAGTTTCATCTGACTAAGCACAGCCAATCCCTCGTTTAGGTAAATTCTAGCGCTTTTTTGGGTATGCCACCTACCCTGAATGAGTATCCGATCAAGGTTTTGGTGTTTCTGGAACCAAAACGTGGCCCCTCCCCTTCGGAGAGAGTAAGGCCTGAACCCCAAATCTTGGATACTGAGGTCTTCCAGGCATTTATTAAAAAGAGCCCTCCATTTCGCGGGCGACAGCGTGAGGTGAGTGGCAGGTGAACAAGCCTTCTTCCATGTCTGTAAAACTCTAACCGCCGGCTCAAAACCGAGGACCACGGACTCGGCGGCTCCATGCCGCTTTCCACCTTTGGTCAACCCTAAATTGATCAGAGCCTGGGTGGCCCGGGGACCACATTCAATGTGAGAGGACACGATCCCTAGGATCTCCCCTGTCCTCAACATGCTGTCAAACCCTATGAGCAAAGAAACGGCAAAAGAGATCCAACCATTAAGAACTGCCCAACCACACATGGCATGGACGATATGCTCTGGAAGTGGTGGAGCCCGCGATGGGATCTCGTTAGTTTGCCACGTCTTCACAACCTCCAGGCTGCCGGCATGTGTGTCCTCAGCCCTGGCTGTATGTCTTGCAGCCCGGCCAGGGTATCGCAGGCCAAGCCCCTGCGCACCCTTGGCCCCAAAGATGCTCTAAGTAGTCACAGACAAGGGGGTCAAGCTTGTTCTTGTTGGTGGGAAGTGTCATGCCTTCGGAGTGAAGAAAAGAAAAGGAACTGGTCCACCGCTTTGTCATACCTCTTGCGAGTAGTAGGTTGGACGGTCAACTGACGAAGAGTCCCCAAACGACGAATCTTTGCACGCTCCTCCTGTGTGGCTCCTTCCAAGACACGCTTTGGCATTTCGGAAAAGGGTCCTCACCCTGGTACCCCACGGTTTGTCAGCAGGGTTGCTATCCGTGTTCACATACCCCCACAAGACTTGGGAGCCTGTACATAGAAGAAGAGCGCTGATTCGTGCCATACTTCGTCGCAACTTTCTCGAACTCGTCCGGCCCCTTGTCAGGGCACGCAAGCAGACCAAGGAATCAGTCAGGTGCAGCATTCGGCACCCGCCATGCCCTTGATGCTCCAACCGCCACCGCAAAGCGTTCAAGATGGCGCGAAGCTCCAACGAGTTAATGTGCTCATTCCCATGGGTCCAACGCCATCCCGAAACAATTCTCCACTTCCAAAGCTTGGCCGGGACTGAAGCACGCAAGCGATGAAACTTGACCAGTTGAGTGGTCGGGGTGGTCAACATGATATCCTCACCCTTCAGGCTGATGAGATTTCCTAACTTGAATGCGAGGTCATACTCCATGGCTGAACTGCTGTCTGCCTTCCGCAAGGGCAGGCGCACCAGGCGTCCTTGTACCGACTCAGAGGCTCCCGGAGCACAGCGAGCGATCACCTCCGCAGGCGGGAGATGAAGAGCAATCCCGAGAGAAGACAGGAGCTGATTGAGCAACCACGCAACCACAGGAACACTCCATGTATTCCCCAGCAAGTTCAAGGTCAGGCGGATGTCCTGACAGCCAGCTTTCTTCTTCTCGCCCTTTGTGACGCAGTTCGAAGTGTAATGGAGAGGGAAACAAAGAGTACCTCCCGCTCGGAGATCGAAGGGACTCTAACGTTACCCCGTTTGTCAACCACTCCGTGCCGGTCCATGTATTGGTACGGCGGGAAGCGATGCCAATCCTCACGCCAGCGACGGAGTTCATGTTCCTGACACTGTACAACGCCGGCCGGCTTGCGGCCAGGCCGGGCCGCCGGCCTCGATGTAGTGAACGTCGGGAAAGACTGGTCCAACGACACCTTGCTCCAACCTGCCTCCAAGTACTGATCAACCGGTTGCTGCCCAACAAGCGTCCATGAGACCGGCTCGACTCCCGCATTACAGGAGGCTCCAGGTCCCTCGCAGAGCTCCCATGTCGTCCAATACAGTCTTGGCCTATTACACCAGGTCAGCGTCCCGGCGTCAATGTGCACAGGCTGGCTCCCAAAGTCGTCGGACATGACAGCTTCATCCATGGAGCTGACTGACTCCATCAAGACGTGTACTGCCGCCCAGGTGAAATGCCTCTTGACTAAGTCGCGGACCCTGCTGACATGAACGAACAGACACGACCGCCCGGAAACTCCCTGACAGGGCGGTCCCGCCCCGATGACCACCAAGCTGCACTGGGAGAACCGAAGTCCCCATTCTACAACCATGAGCCCCTCTATCTCCTCCACGTCCTCATAATGCAGCACCCCTGGGTAGTTGCTCTCAACCACCCTCCTGGCCGAGACGTTGCGCTCGATGGAGATGTACCCACAAACGGCGACACCTTGTCAGTCCATGGCAACTCGGAGGGCACCAATCCCATCATAACAGGCTGATTATGAGCACCTGATGTTCTGGCAGCGGCTGAGGGATTTGCCTCGAAGTCCACCCTGGGCTACCATACTCCCTGTTGGTGTCAAACCCGCCGAGCGACAGACACCCCCTCCTGATGTAGAAGCATCGCTACACGTGACCATGGGGTGCATGTCCAGCCTGAAGTTCATACGAATCAGAGGAAGTCCAGAAACCTCAGGAGCTCCGCCTGGCACTCTATTGGAAGAGGCTTGTACGGTGCTCCCGGCCCATTGAAGGATTCCACAAAAGTCCACACTGCGTTGAGGGCACCCAGGATCGGCCTTCTGAACATGCTGAAGTACACCAGCCCCCCGCACACGACTTGCACTTGCCGCTGGCTCACCACCTTTTGGCCCAAGAGCCTGAGGGTCATGCTGAAGTACTTCTCGAGCTTCGACTCCTTCGGGTAGGCCAATCCAAGCTTGCCGTCCACTGTTGCACCCTGCAATTCACACTTGGTCGACCTCTCAACTGCCTTCTTCTCATTCCTGGGCACCGACCACACGCAATATTCCTGCCTAAGGGCACTGATCTGATCCGCAACGGTTCCCTCACAATCAGTCATGCCAGTGGCTTCCACCTTCTCGAGCAAGTCATAGTTGTCCAAGTAGACCCTCCAAGTCGAGTCCGCTGTGGTGAAGGGGCGGTCTTTCCGCAGCTCCGTGCTTTCAAGAGCTGGACGTTCCTCAAGTCCGTATGACCACTTGACGAGGTTGCGGTGTACGTTTTGGGCTAAGCTGACCGAGTTCAGAAAACCCATAGGTAATACCCTTGAAGCAAGATAGACCGTCTTACCGTGCAACTCGACAGGAAGGGCAGTGTCAGGGACTGGCTTGTTGAACGCCAAGTACTTACTCCAGCATTCAGGTATCCGCATGGTATAAAAGAAACACTTCACATCTTCTGAAGACACCAAAAGGTTCTCACCTGGTTGCAGGAAGAAAGGGCTCATCATGCTCCAAGAAGGTAGGGTATCAATGTCCCCACCCAGGGGTTGGCAGATGGAGTTGAACGGTATGAGGTTCATAATGAGGCGGCAAACCTCCACTCTCTCAGGCGTCGTCTCTTCTTTGGATACGCCAAACATCCCGTTCAGGAGTGCTCCAGGAGGCAGCAAACTCCCGCTTTCAGGAGTCCAGTGCACAGGTCACCCCACGCACCGTCTTCAACCATGACTTTTGACCTCTTAATGGGACCCCAGCTTTCCCGAGGCTTCAGGAAAGAATCCAGCGAAAGGACGTAGTTCCTACAGCCTAGAGTACACACCTCTTCCAAGGGAACAAGACCTATCTCACAAGGCAACGCCGGCGACACGTTCTCCCACCGGATCCACCGAGCGACCTTGACCTCGTCGCCCTTGTAGTCGATGCCACGTACCGAGAAGAATTCCTGCCAGTCAACACCCGAAGCTTTCAGTCCCAGTGCACAAAACCGTTCAACCTCTTCTCGGATCATCTCAAGGCACACCTTCTGCTTGCTTCCCAAAAACTTTTCACCCAAATTGACTCCACCCCAAAGAGAGTTGAGCCCTAAACAAACACAAACCACCCAGTTCAACACTTCTGGATGAATCATGGTCCACAACGTCTGCAAAACGACGATGGAGGTGGGTAGCGGGAACAAGGCCGAGTCCCCACCACCCGTGAGCTGGCTGCGAAGTGATGTGACCTCCATCAAACGTTGAAGTACGAACGAACCCAAATGCTGAACACTCTTCCCTTCAACGCCCAAAGCGCTATCTCCTTTTTCCTCAACGTCCTGACAAGATCTGGATCTCCACCCTCTACGGCTTCAAACTGCGGAGGGTCAGGCGGAAAAGTCTTCGACTGATCGGCCCTCGACGTGAGAGCCTCATCGGCCTGCTCTTGAGGAGTGGCCGGAACTGTAGGAAAACCTCCAGCAGGACACAGGGCTGCCGGCCTCGTCGACATGAGTGGCCAGCATCGTAGTGCATGGTTGATCGCAAGAAACTCCTCCAGCCGTCGAGTCAGGAAGATTCCTCTTGCAATCGATCGTCATAGCTGCCGTTCCTGGCTCCCGACAGCAGGAGCCTACTTCGTCGTGTCCTCCTTGGCCTTGGCCTTGTCTCCCTTGCCGGAGCCCTTCGACTTGCCCTTGCTCTTGCCTTTCTCGAAGTGCTCCTTCTCGCGCTCCTTGGATTTGCCTTTGCCCTTGCGCCCATCCGGCAATCCTGCCAAGTGCCGTACTTTGGATTCGGCGTTTCTGGGCAGCTGATAGTTCCTGAGCTGCTGCAAGAACCAAGCCCTCTTGCGGCGCAATCTCCATTCGTTGAGCCACCGACCAGTGTGTGCCGCTCAGGACGCTCTCGATGGATTTGAGCCTCTGGCTCAAAAGGTCGGCCGCTCGAGCCGGATGGCCCTTTATCCAACGCCGCTGAAAGCGTCACCAACTCTCGTTGAGTAGGGCCCGAGGCTCGCCTCTGCAGCTGCTGCCGGAAGTAGCTCAGGTATACGGGTCGCACTCCCGTTGGCGAAGTCCTCTCCAATGCTCTGTAACAGGTTCTGCCGCATCATCTTGACCGACTGGCAACACAGAGCCCCTGGAAAGGCATCCGGCAGCTTCTTGAGCCGACTGTCCGCCTCGAAGAGCTCCACGTCCTCGAAGTTCTCCCCGACTGAGCTCTCCTCGTCTGACCCTGTTCGGCTCGATGATGATGAACGATCGCTCTTGGCCCGCTTTGCCTGCTTCCTCGCTCGGCGGGCCACCCTCTTCCTCACGCGCTCCCGTGGATCTAGACCGGTGCCCCGGTATAGACTCAGGAGACCCTTCTGTGACGCCAACCGCGGCTTGCGCCCGTCGTCGCCCAGGCTCGATGAGGTTGAGCTCGAGCTCACTGCTTTCTTCTTGTCTGCTTCCTCTGGCTCCTCGACGGAGTAGTGTCCTTCTGACTCTTCCTTGCGCTGTGGCTTCTTCTTGCGGTCTCGCTTGCGCTCCTTCTTCTCGGAGCCCTCCTGGCGCTTTCTCCTCTTCTTTTCCTTCTTGGGTTTTTCTGGGACTTCAGGCTTGTCCTCACTCTCCTTGCCGGCCTCTGGTTCTTCGTCTTGGACCACGATCTCGGCGACAGGTCCTTTGGAATCCTCTTCCTCCTCCTTGGTCACAAAGTCCTTGCCCTCGGTCTTGTCCTCGACAGGAGCCTTTGATGCTCCCGCACCTGCACTGCCAACCTCGGTCTTCTCCTCGGCTGTCTCAAGAGCCCCACTGGTCTCTCGTTCCGCCCTCAAGACGGGTCCGGCCTCCTCGGCCAGGTCAACCAACGCTCCAGCTGCGCCTCGAAGTGCCTGAACCACTGCCGCTTCCTGCGACTTCAACAAATGCCCACCTTGCAGCAATTCGCGGATTCGTCTCAGGGTTCTGCACGAAGCGCAAATGGGACCACCAAAAAGGTGGCAGCTGGAGCAGGCCATAAACTTAAGCCAACACTGCAGAAAACAAGTAAGTGAGGAAACATCTTAACCTACGGGGGCGCAGATACATATGTGATCACTTATATGATCTCTATATATATATATATGCATAGTGTATATATTTACTATATTTCTATATGATCATATATGCATTGGGGACCAGTGCTTCGGAAGTTCCACTTCTGGCATCGCGTTTCATCCCCTCCAAACGAGCTCACCAATCCTTTGGCCGCTTTTTGGTCGTTCGACGGCAAGACCTGCCTCCTGCCTTCGGGCGGAGGTCAAAACAATGGTTGGGTATAGTCTATAGTCTATCCTAATACCAATAACAGTAGATGATGATGGTAAGTAAAGGCATTGTTCAACAAATGGTTTGTATATATATATATACATACATACATATTTAGAATTTATATATATATATAATGATATAGAGTTATGATCCCCGGTGATTGATGGGTTGGATGCTTTACAGAGCATTTTATAGAGAAATGGTGGCTATGAAATGAGTTACAAAGGATCAAAATAAGAAAAATGTCTATAAAATGGAAAACCAGGTGCTACTATAAAATGGGATTTCAACTCCAGAAACATCTACGCCGGAAGGTTGACATCAACTGCGCTCCTTCTATAAAATGGAATTTCAATCATAACTAATGACATGGTGACACAACATTGCCTCTACTATGAAATGGAATTTCACATATATCAACAATCTACAAGCACAATCAAGCACATCTTCTTTAGTTTCTATGAAATGACATTGTGCACATAACCGCTCAGCTCAAAAAGGACTTCTTTTTGCAAAAAACTAGCGGCTAGCGGCAACTACTAGCCGCTCCCTATAGAGTGGGGCGTCCCAGAACCCACGCAACTACTTTACACATCTTTAAACCTCATTGAGGCATGTGAGTCCTCATTGGATCTCATTGGGCATTCATTGGGCTGCATGGCGCGCGCATATCTTGGAACATCTCGGATTCTTTCGGCATGTCTCTCTATAAACTAGTTTTCTATAAAATGCAATTCTAACATCCATGAACCAAGTTCACAAGGGCGCCTTAAGTCCACAAAGCACCCCACTATAAAATGGAATTCGAACATCCATAAGCCAAGTTAACAAGGCACCTCAGATCCACTATGAAATGGAATTTCAACATCCATCATCATCCATCTATATGTTTACTCAACATCACCAGCTTCCTTCTATATAATGACATTTCAGGTCACATGCTCGTTTGCGACGCTGGCCCTGCTCTATGAAATGAGCCCCTGAACCCCCATTTCATAGAGGTAAAGGATCCCCATTTCATAGAGCAACAATCACCATGGATGAGTTATGTTTGTTTAGCGACTGTTACAGATCGTAGGACACCCCCAAACTATACTTGAGAGAGGAGGGGGTGAACGAAAGGTAGCAGGCAATCACAAGTAACCCTGGTAGAAGTCCACGACGGCGTGAACCGGCGCAGGGGGGATTTGATCCAGGGGGGGGGGGGGCCCCCCCCCCCCGACGAACAGAATCAACTCTTACAGGACCAAATTCAATGCACAATCCCAACTCCTGATTGTAATACATTTTTGCTAAAGCAAGGAGAACTCAGGTAGCTCAAGCTACCTTTCGTGATATAGGCTATAGGTCATTCTATATTCAAGGTAAAACTGCAGAGCCTCTTCTTCGGTGAAGGTGCGCGCTCGCCTTCTTGGGGAGCGTCCATAAGGCGCCGCTCATTCGGACCCAGGGAAGAACCTCTGGAACCCTGATCGCCCAAGGACGGTCAGGTCCCTGCCGTGCCTTCACAGCTTCTGACAAGAGTTCCTGGCGAGGTGGATGTCAAGGATGTGTCGGTATGGTTCCAACACGGACCAACTGCTTTCGGGCACGATGCAACAAGAAAACATGTCGATATCTTGCCTGGGCCCAAAACCTTTTCAGGTATGCTGAACCTGAACCTGAACAGCGTAAACCACATAAAGTCGATTTACCTTGATTCATTTTTACATGGCTATGGGCTTGGCTCCCAAAGCCAGCTCCAACACAACAAACACCCACAGGTTCTTATCAATCTCTCCGTTTGCCCGATCTCCTTTGAAGCGTAGCTTTGCAAAGACTGGTCTTGCTACGCGCTCTGCTCTTCTACAATCAAGCTGGTTCGGTAACCACCCCGCCACTCTTCCAACAACAGCTCAAACAACCAAAGACAACAGTAGACTAGTTTGTTGTTGATGCTACGCAGTCTATGCATAGACTATCACCCACCCCGCCACCTAAAGGCCAGACTCTGCCTCAATCCGATGCTTGCCCAAGTACTCCTCCAGTGCAGCATGGCGATGTGCCGGTTTCCGTGGTTCCACACCGCATGTAATTTCACATTAGTAATGAATTCGGTTTAGGGTTTAGGGTCAAATTGATGAGTAATGTATAGTGAAGTGCAATATTTCTATATATAAAATGACCTCTCGACTTCCAAAATCTTCTTTCAGCATACCCCGTCTTTAGGGTGAATGGATTGCCCTCGGTGACAGTGACAGAACCATCATAATGGTGAATCCCCTTCAAATCATCCATCTCTATAAATTCCGCATATATCATCACGCATGATTGTCATGCCGCATGCCCCAAAATAACAAAGCAGCCCTTACTGTCTGGAGTATATATGTTTGTTTGGCTTGGTTCATGTGGATCTTTCCTGGCTTGCCCAGTCAAAATGAAAAATCTGTTGGCCGCTTCTGATCGATCTAGGTCCATAACACGGCCCGGTCCTTGGCTTTGCCTTTCATCTTGGCGGCCCGGTCGGTCTTAGACTTTTGGACTTCCTCGCTCTTGGTGGAAACGCTCACCTGAGAGGACGGACTTTCAAACAGAATTCAACCGTGGTCTGGGCGGCGCTACCACATGTCCATATGCGAAGTGACTGGGACTCAAAATAATGTGTTCTGTCCCCAAATGACGTGTAATTAGATTATTTCATTAATATACAACAGGTCAGGTTTCACATTGACAACCTCTAGGGCTCAAAATACTTGTCTCGATGAATGCCATTTACGAGTATTTCAATGCTATACAAAATGCATTAGACATGAGCGGTGGTGAAAGGATGCGTCTAAAAGCGTCAGGGCAAAGAGACGTCTATAGCCAATAGAATCTATAGTAGAAATCTATTACGCCCTGGAAGATTAACATGGAACCTGAAAACCACTGGCCCTGGGTTGTAAAATATTGTAAAATCGTCTTCTCAGGTTCCATGCGGGTCTCTTCGCCGACTGTACCGACAGTCGGCGAACCCGCCAGCAACAGCACACCAGCGCCTTGAATTTCATCGCCGGGAAGTCGGGATTGGTGCTGGTGGCATAGGTGTCGTGCATAGCACTGGAGTCCGGCTCCTTAGTGCTGGGAGTCGCGGTGCTGGGTGTCAAACGGGAGGGGCCCTTTCGCAGCACGCCAACGGGGAGCATTGGGGAGCTGGGGAGTATCCGTGGCACGCCCGAAAAACCACCAGATTCACTTGGTTGATTCAAGTCTAGCAGCCTAGCATGCACACATCAAATCATATGACTGGGATCAACGAATGGCGCCCTCTGAAAGCCTCAACCAGTGCAACCGTTGTATAGGTGCTACGCAAGGATTGGGGGCACACCTTCTCTCCCCAAAGAAGCAACTCTTAAGCAATTCGTTTCCACCAACAAATTGTACTGTCCACATGCTAGACACTCAACAGCATATGGTGAAATGATGTGAAATGCCTACGGACACGATCTCATCTCTCCGAATCTCTTTGACCTGTTTGGGAGGCTGGGCCGCCACCTCACAAGGAAACAGCGAGGATTCCATGGCCCTTGCAAATAGCACATCATAGTAGCATCCCAAAGAATAAGGGATCTGTTACACAAACCATCGTGGTTTGAAGAAACACCGGACCATTCTCCTGGCTTGCAACTTGCCCGTCTCGCCCTGTTGGCGGGCAACTCGCCACCGGTGCCAATCGCCCTGGCAGGTCTAACTCCCAAGAGTCTGCAGTGAGTAAGCAATTTCCCACATGCTGGTAGACGTCGATCCGAACATCCTCAAGCCAACACGCAAAAGGTTCTGCTGAACGCTCAAAGGCTGAACTTGCTGCCGTGCTTCTTTTCAGGAAACTGTTCTGTAATGTTCTGTACATTTGCTCGGGACAAGTGCAAAACTACATGAACATCCGAAAAGAATATATACCTGCTTAAGCCATTTTCCCAAATTCAGGATATTTCAGGTATATTATATATATATATATTCCGGCTATTTATTGGGCCTGGTTGTTTGATGGTATGTATGCTGGAGTATGCTGCCACTGTTGTGCTGCTGTGCTATGCCGCCCTACTTCTTTCATTAGGACTTGAGCTAGCAGCTGGCGCTTGGGTTGAACATGGAGATAAGGAAACCTAATAATAGCCCAACTGGGTACTCTCAAACATCGTTTACGGCATCGTTGTGAGTCCCAAATGTCCCAATGGCCGAAGCCTTGCAGCAACAAAACAAAACAAAACGGCATTCATGTGCCTCCCAACCAACGATGTATTCATGCCACACCTCTCTTTGCAGCGTGCACATTGTTTTGGACTGATGAATGGCCACCTTGACCCATTTGCATCACCCCAACCAGTTGCAGAACGCACACAGGTAGAATCCCACCACTCTGGAGCCCATTCGCCATTCTCCTCATGTATAGTACAGGAAGTCAATCTGGTCGTCCAAACATCGATGTTACCCCCAAACGCATGCCGTTGGTCGGATTGCGGGTGGAATGGCCACACCCCAAGAGTCCCAAGAGCAACCATTTGCCTGGATTCCAAACCTAGACCACCCCCAGGACATTCTTCCCGGAATTGAATGCAAATAGCATTGCAATCAACCAAACAAACTCCAAAAACCCTGCACAAATTTGGGAATGGCCGATTTGAACTTTCTTCGGCATCCATCTGAGCTCATCATCTGAGCTGATGATGGGTGAAGCGTTTTTCTCATCAGCCGGCCGTAATCTACAACCCTGTAACCACGGAGCTATTTGGTGACACATCTTTTGGAGGTCTACAGCACTTCTTGCTCGACTCTATCCCATGTGCTTCCAAACATCAACCTTGCAATTCCCTCATTCAAACAATTTGATAGAGTTTCTTCCAACACCCCAAACACGCCCCGGTGGTGTCACCCGTCACCCGGCTCCGCTCCAAGTGACCCTCCGCCGGTCAATGCCCGGGAAGTTGTAAGCCTCGGCACCGAAAACCCACACATGGCCGGTCCGAAAGCCGCCGTGCGATGCGAACGAAGTCCCCCCATCCGCCCAAAAAAGGACCCAATTCATCCCAATCCGAGGGAACTCAGGCGTCCCAAGCGACCGAGTTCCCATCTCATGATCTCCATCGGAAGAAGCCGGCCCAGGCGACCAGTTTGAGACACACATCGGATTTGGTCGCCTCTGAGAGCCGAACCCCCAAAAAGAGGCCTTGAGACGTCAAACAGCGGTCTAGCCACCTAGCCAGTGATTGGTCATCGTTTCAACAACCCCAAGACTAACTTATATATATATATATATCATACACTACTGTAACCATCTGTAACCCTGATAAACCCTTTCCAAGCCGGAACATCTAGTAGTGAGGTCTGCCAGCTGGCACCTCGCGGCAGCTCCTTACTCGTGGTCGATCTGAGTCACAGACTCGTTGAGGCTCATATCTGCCCTGCTTCAGGACATCCCCCACACGCACACTGACCTCGGGCTTGGGCGTTTGGAACAGCGATCGCATCTCAGTTCTCGTCCTTTTGACATCTAGCTTAATGACTTCCAGGTATGGAGGATAGGGGTGCTTCATGGAAGTCAGGATGGCCATTCTCCACTCACTGGCTGGGACTAAACACCACCCAACTCCATGTGACTCCTGGTTTGAAGACTCTCCGGAGCCGTGGACCTGCTGGGGCCCCAAACATAGCAACCCTTCGGGAGCTGCTCCGCATTCGCGGCCTCCACGTGGACCTCCATCCTCGGAACCCGACCGTCGGGTTCCGTGAGTGAAGGACAGAGCGAGTGAGTGTGTCACCGGAACGACCGAGAACGGAAAAAGCACGTCAACCATGATCTGAAAAAGGCGTAGTACATGCGAGCGAACCAAGTGGTCACCTTGGAAAAAAACAAAACAGGTCAACCATGATCAACCAAAACATGTAACATGATGCTCCATGCAGCTTGAGGACTCCTTCCGGCACGGTTTGGGCCGGAAAGGGCTCCGGCTGTGCAAGCCAGCGAAGAATCTGAAAGGGCAGAATGGTAGAATCATGATAGAGAGTCAATGATAGATATGATAGAAGATCAAACACCTGCTGCATCCTGCATCCGTATGGACGGCATGGATTTGGCACACCTGGGAGTT